CGCGGCTCGCCAGGGTAAGCACCCTAGTGGGCCAGGCCAGTTTATTTACCTGCTGACGCGGCAGTTTCGGCCGATTGCAGCCCCCACTGGCCGCAGTTCGCCGTCCCGGGCCAATGGGGGCGGTGGGAAGCGGCGCGTGCCGAGGGATGTGCTGGCTGCGGCTTTCCACCTCCCCCATTGGCCCGGGACGGCGAACTGCGGCCAGTGGGGGCTGCAATCGGCCGAAACTGCCGCGTCAGCAGGTAAATAAACTGGCCTGGCCCACTAGGGTGCTTACCCTGGCGAGCCGCGTGCCAAATGTTGCCGACCTCTGGCCTAGATGTAGATAAATTTCTTGGTGTGTTTGAAGACAGACTCCCTCATGGATTTCTACCACAACATTGACAACCACCATCTGTCCATTAACCTCTCTCTGGAACATTCCCACACTAACATCAACTTCCTGAACACCATGATCAGCTTCAACAATGGAACCCTACAGACAACTATACACAAGAAAGCCACAAATCACCACACCACATCTCCAATCACAGATCCAGTAACCAGACCTCAGTTAAGTCATAACATAGATTTAATGATTAGTGATGTTTGGGGAAAAAAAATAACCTTATCGCTTATTATCTCTAAACCATTACAGTCTGAATTCCTCATTAGCCCTAAATCTAAAAAAACCCTTACTTTTTATCTTCTCCACACCTCCAGAATTCATTCAAGGAAATTAATTATATACCCAAGACTCACAACAACACAAAGATGTTCGACACTGGTAGCATGATTACGCAAGTGTAACCTTCCTTTCCTCCCTGGGTTACTCGGGAGCAGGCAACACTCATCTGTGTGCCTAGGCGCCTGATGTTGTTGACATTAAAGAAGATCCTGAGTATCCCAGTGGTGATGGTGGATAGGTGGGAATCCTCTATTCACCTCTCTGCTGCAATCCCTTTACTCCTAAAGGATTTTAAAATTGGCTGGCTCGCTGGCTGGCCCCTGTTACACACTCAATGGTGTGCCTTGGGAACTTCCAGGAATAAAGCTATTCTAATAATAAATAATTAATTAATAATATAATCTGTGGCATGGGTGTAACTCAAAAATACCAATTATAAATAATATACATCCAATATACTTAAATTAGAGTTAACACATCTTTACTTAAAAAATTAAAAACAGGGATAACAGACTAAGATTATATGTTATTACTAATTTAAATCCACAGGGAGCAGTTGAATAAAATAAATTAACAGATATAGTATACAGTAATAAATTAAACTTATCTCAACTGGCATTTACACTGCCACCATTTACCTCACCCCTGAGTGTACACTCCTCTGGATTTCAGAATCGTAGACACTTGCGTGGGTGTGCTGGAAGATCTGCAGCTGGAGACAGCACTCTGTTGGTTCTGTCTATCAGTCCAGCCAAGGCAACAAGCTGCATAACCCTTCTGACGATTGCCGCTGGCCCCACCAACAAGGCTGGCTCCAGGCACCAGCCGACCAAGCACGTGCTTGGGGCGGCACCTTGGGCCGGGCGGCGCTCAGGTTTTTTATTAATTTATTTATTGGGCGGGGG